TCTTTGTTTGTTTGAGTGTGTGCGTGTGTGTGTGGGTGGGTGGGGGGGGGGGGGGGGGGGAGAAAGAGAGAGAGAAGAGAAGAGAGAGAGAGAGAGAGAGAGAGAGAGAGAGAGAGAGAGAGAGAGAGAGAGAAAGAGAGAGAGATCACAACGAGTCCCAGCGCTGGTTGGACATGCGCGTCGGCTCGCCCGAGGACTGCTATCGCGACCCTCCCGTCGTGCCGCATCCTCCGACGAGCTCTGCAACCGAGGAGAGCGAGGGTGCGCCTCCCCTCACTGCTGGCCTGGCTGCGCACCGCCCCACAAAGCACCCCCTGGAGCATCTCTACAAAAGTCCAAGTGCAAGGGCGAGACCTTCTCCAAGTCGTCAACACGCCCGGCGGCTCCGGCAAGACTTTAGCCTTGGCCACCCTCCTTGCGGAGCAGGAGGAGATCCGCTCTCGGTCGGCAATGTGGCAGCTAGTCGAGGGACTCGGGTAGTTGTGACCCCCCTGAGTGAGGACAAGAGAGAGAGAGCTTTTGTGGTGTTGGTGTACGCAATAACGGGACAGGGCGCAGCTCATGCCAAGAGCTAGAAGGGGAGCTAGAGAGAACTCCGACCCCTTTTGCGCAGCAACACCTTAAACTTTTAGGCCCTCCAAATTCGGGTCGGAGCGTAGCGGAGTGGGCCCCGAGTTTGAAAAGGGCGACGGACGCTTGCGTCCTAGCCTCCAACAACGCCTCCCCGGCGCAGAGGGGCCCCCGGAGGGATGCACAACCGACCCCTTCTCCCCTTCTTGTATGCTTTGCGTCGATTCCTTTTCGCGTGATACCCTTCCTCCGCCGGCTTGGCTAGCCTCTCGAGCCCCGCCGAGAGGAAGGTGAGGGCCATGTGCGTCGAGAGGAGAGGCAGGATGAGCGGGTCCCACGCGGTGCGAAACGTGTTCATCACCGCCTCGTCGTGCGCGCCAAACTGGAGGCCGACGCCGGTGAGGAACCTGGCGCACGGGGCGGGCGCGAGGCCGTCAGGACGGGCGGGGGTATGCCAAGCTGCGGGAGGGGCGCGGCGCGGCCCACCAGGCAAAGAACAGGATGATGACGAAAAAGTTGAAGGTGAGCACAGTGCCGAGGGTGTTGATGACGCGCGCGAGCGGCGTCGCCTCCTCCTCCTCCTGCAGCTCAGCCGCGGCGCCGCCAGCCAGCCTCCTGTCGGCCAGCCCACGCTCAGCTTTGAATTGCGCGAGGTCGCTCTCGAGGCGGGACAGCTTGGCCCGCTCGCCCGAGTCACTCAGGTCAACAAAACCCGCCGCGTCGTCCCCAAACTTTGCGCGCACACGCCGCGCCTTGCTCGTCACGTACGGGTTGGTCTCGGGTGTGACGAAGTTACCGAGCAGGCTAGGCTCGGCCAGTGCTGGCGGCGGCGACAGCGGCGGTGGCGGCAGCGGCGGTGGCGGTGGCGGCGGCGGCGGCGAAGAGACGGCGCTCACCGTGGCAGGGAGCTGCACGGAGAAGCTCTGGCCCGGCGCGACGCCTTCCGGCACAACTACCTGGCACTGGGCTCCGCGTGGAGGCTGAATGAGCAGAAGGTCACCAGCAGCCTTGCCTTCCGGCAGGACGAC